TTCCTAAAAGTAACAAGGACATTATATATAAATCTGAAACTCACAGTTAAAATCCTGTGATTATAAGGGTATGAACAAGCTCAAGAGGCAAAATTTCACATTCCTAGCACTAGTAGTCTAGGGATAAAGTCTATTTATAAATTATATTTCTGGTGCTGCAACTTAGGTAATTTAGGATAATTAATTAACTTCAAGGAATTTTTTACAGACCAAACTGTAGTACTTCATTGCTTTTTCCAATGTGCCTTTCTGTGGAATTAATGTGATTAATTAATGAAATGATATCTATATACTTACTTGAGAATTGTGGATGAATACAACTAAGTCATCTTTCTGAGTTAATTGTATGATATTTTAGATCCTGACATTTAAGGACAATGATTAGTTTTCTGGAACACATTCTATAAGCCACATATTAGGCTAGGGCCTCCAGAGCATAAATATGATTGAGACACTTATGAAGTTCTCAATTCAGTGGGAAGGTCAGTCAAATAAGTAGGTATTTGAATTTGATATATGGAGTAAGAGAATTATAAACTGCAAGATAGGAGGTTAGGGCCTTCTCCAATAAATGACAAGTACTCTCTGAGTATCGGTAATAGTAGGAAGGAAAATAAGTGTACACAATCTTGCTTTTACAGCAAAAAGGAGCACTTTTAAATACAGAGCGGTCCAACAATTTCTAGTGCTAGTTTCTGAAGAGCTACCATACACATAATGTATAAGATGAGGAGGCTTATAAATCTTGAGAAGTGATCTCCTTTAATTCTTTTAACATATTTATAAGATTTGTCCTTGTTAGGTCCAACATCAACGTATCTTCCACTGAATGCTTTGGTTTTCCTGTACATGAGCCATACCTTCCTGTTTCTTTGCATATCTCCTATTGTTGATAAAAATGGACATTAAAATAATATAATATAGCAACTCTAGAAATCAGATCTCCTTCAGCTCCCAGGAGTCACTGTTACCGCTGTTACCTGTTTAGAAACTTTTCTGACCTAATTCTGCAAAGTCTGTATTCTTTGTCATGTGTAGCCACTGAGGTCTCTGCTGGATTAGCTCAGTGGTCAGCAAATAATTAGACAGTGAATTCCTTAAATACCTTGCATTAGATAAGTGAGCCATCATTTGCCAAGGGAGTGTGTGTGCTGGGTAACACCTTTAATACTGCCAGTTTATAACTCTGCCTTAGCCTTCACTTTTTGTTGAATACAATCAAAATCAGTCAGTGGTAAGAGATTAGGGTCTTCTCGGGTCTTTCCTGGGCAGGTGCACAACCTTGTGTATGTGTATGACCTTCAAGAAATCCAGGATTATTTTTAAAAGTAGGCACTTTTCCAAACCACTTATAATAATGACATTTCCCAAATTTCCCTTTTAAGTTTTTTGGCTAGGCTCTTGTTTGACCAAGTGGTATTTCTGTCTTAGGCAGAGGTTAAACAATTGCCACTTACTGTTTCTGACAAACATTATGAGGATAGGGCTTTCCCACTAAGCAAGCTCTAAGTAAATGGGGACTTTCTGGGAAGCTACCAGATAGGTCAAATAGTAATAATTCCCTGTAGATAGGTTTTTTTTGTGGAACTCCAAATTTAGTCTGCCCACTCCAGTGGCTTCTACACTGCTGGTTTTCATAGCTACCATGGTTGTGAGGCTACTACTTTTTTTATTATTATGTTATGTTAATCACCATACATTACATCATTAGTTTTTGATGTAGTGTTCCATGATTCACTGAGTATAACACCCAATGCTCCATGCAGAATGTGCCCTCCTTAATACCCATCACCAAGCTAACCTATCCCCCCACCCCCCTCCCCTCTAGAACCCTCAGTTTGTTTCTCAGAGTCCATAGTCTTTCATGGTTCGTCTCCCCCTCCAATTCCCCTCCTGTTATCTTCTTTTTTGACATATAATGTATTATTTGTTTCAGAGGTACAGGTCTGTGATTCAACAGTCTCACACAATTCACAGCGCTCACCACAGCACATACCCTCCCCAATGTCTATCACCCAGCCACCCCATCCCTCCCACCCCCCACCACTCCAGCAACCCTCAGTTTGTTTCCTGAGATTAAGAATTCCTCGTATCAGTGAGATCATATGATACCAGAGAGGCTACTACTTTTTAAATCTACTATGGAAGGGGGTGGGAGTAAAGCAAGTTAAAAATCTACAAAGCTTGCTATTCTTAGTGAGCTTTAACTATTTTTGCTGAATAAATACTCCTTGGGTTATTGAAACCTTTGGTTAATATCCAGAGTTCTGAAAAAGTTGATTTTGATTATTTTTGCTAGTGTTATCATTCCCTTTATGGAGAAGCTAATTTGCAGATATCTTTAGTCTATCATTCCTGAAATGCTTAGACTTTCCATTTCAAAGAATATCAATATTTGCCCAATTGCTTTTTAGTACATTAAGTTTACAAGTTTAAACATTTAATCTACCTAAAATTCGTTTTAGTGTACAAAGTCCAGAAAGAAATGGGCAGCCATTTACAGTTATTTTCAATCTTTTCTAGGTTAATCAGTAAGATACTTTTGAGAATCTAATAAAAACTATGGATCATTTCTGCAGAAAAATCTGCACATATACATAGTTTTGCATAATTTCATAAATGGGCCCCCTTCCATGCAACTCAGATTAAAACCCATGATTTGCTAGTAACTTATCCTACCTAATTTGTAACATCATCTTTATTGATTTATGAATTACAGAAAATTTTATGTCCTTCTGTATTCCATCCTAATCCATTGGTCTGTCTGTTCTGTATCCATAACAGTACCATACAGTTTTAATTACACCAATCATCTTTCTGCCGCAGAGCCTTTGTACTTGCTATTCCCCTGCCTGAAACTTTCTTTCCCCAACTATTCACAAAGTAAACTCCTCACCTCAATGCAGGCCTCAGCTCAAATGCTGACTCCTTAGAGTCCTAACCTGACTATCCTATTTATATATTGGTTCCCTGACTCTCCAGACCTTACACAGCTTCATTTTAATTCATGACACTGATCACTATCTCACATTATGTTATGCCTTTAATACTTTCCTGTCAGTCTTCTTCACAAGAAGGCAGGAAAGTTGTTGTTTTTCTTACTACTTTATCACCAGAAATAAGTACAGCCCCTGGAACTTGGCAGGCAGTCACTTCAATTATTAATGTGAAACACTGAAGAGTAAGTTTGACCAGGTCAATTTGTTTGCTTGCCCTACTGGCCTAAATAAACAAAAGATATATGAACTTCATATGGCTCCCAAGAGAAGTAATTTGTCAGTTTTCTAGACCAGAACTCTGAAGCTCTAAGGGGCTAGTGGAATGACAACTGTTTGGTTGTAGTTTCTTACTACAATTACATGAAAATGAAAGCAGCTATTTAAGAAGACAGAATACATTTGACATCACCACCTCACATTTGAAAACCTGAGCATTAACTGGAAACATTTTTTTCTGCTATATATGTTCTCTGTTCAATTCTTAGCCACAAACCAGTTAAACACACATATACACACATACCACACCCATATCCTCTCTTTCTCACATGCACCTAAAATATGCAAACATTTCAAAGAAAATAAATACAATGCATTTACTCATGACATGCTTGGATTCATCTTCACAGTACTCTGAAACTGTGTCAAACAAATGTTAAAGTATATCATATAATGTAGTGTTTTCTGTAGACAAGAATGCTCCTGACAAACAAGCAGAGAAGTATGCCCTTTATGATATATACTTTTCTGTTTGAGTGATGAACATGTGCTGATTTATTCATGCACTCTTGCCCAATTTCATGGTGACTAATAGCCCACATCTATGTGAGGTTAGAGGAGTGGTCTGTGGTCCAAAAAGTTTTAAGTAAACTCTCCCAAATCAGAACTTAACCAACAATCTTGACCTTACTAGCATAGAATTCCAACCAACTGAACTGACAATTAAACATCTTATATACAATACGTGCTCAATATGTATTTGATGATACTAACAACAGAAGAATTAGAAAGTAATCATTACTCTAATAGAAAAAAGCAAAGAAGTAAAAGAATAAGATCTGTCACTACACTACTGTTTTCTTACCACAAATACTACCTAAAGATATGCTTAATTTTTATAACAAATGGGTAGCCATGTGCTCGAGAATAAATTTAAGTGACATTTTTTTAAAAATGTATAATATTTATCCTGGATATTAAAAGCACTGACTTTTTTAGGGCTTCATTAAGATTAGGTAACGAATTACACAAAAATCTTCTAGGTTGTTTGGTAAATGTTAGTTGTTTTAGCTACATTTATAATGCATGGTTGAATAAACAATGGTAGCATATGTAACACTTTGATTATGGAAAACAAAGACTTCTATAAATGTTATTTTTTGCTTTTTATACTTGTTTAAGGGAAGATTTATTCAGGTATCTCACTACCTATGTAACAAAAAAGACTAAAAACATGGAAAATAGAGCCATGAGAATTCAATTATGGAAAGTGAAAGTACTTTAGTTTTTAATTGTTCAGATAAGCAGACAAAAGTTATTTTGTATGTAGGCCATACTTGTTGATATGTTATACCTTTTATGAAACCACGGGGATTATGTGTGAAGTCCTATTAATTATCAGTATCAACTACAGATATGCAGATATATAAATTAGACATAATTAATAGCATCAAACTGTTTTCTACATATATATTTATTTTGTATTGATTGTGTATGTGTGTATTTGTGAAAAAAGAAAAAAAAATTAAACCGGAAGTTTATATAGTTGCAATAACTAAATATAAGTTTGGATTCTGACTTTTTAAAAAATGATAAAAAGATAAAATTATAGTAGAAGTACACTGATATGTTAAAAATTATTAGTTTAAAATATTATTACTAAAGGCAAAATAATTAATATTGATATGTCCACTAAGGTGATTTTAAGATCGAATAATAAGGAAACTTCATTTTGAGAAAAAATAAGGAAAAAGAAAGTACTTACAAAGAGTTAATTTTACTAACCTGACTTATTTTTCTTTGTTCTTGTATAGCTTTTTGAATTGCCTGAGATACTTTTTCTTGATCTTTTGCATGTTCAGTCTTCCATAACTCTCTTTCTTCAGCATGGGCTTTTTCCAAATTTTTTCTTTCTTCTTCTATGGCTTTTAAAACTGCATCCTTCATTGCTTCTTTCTCAAGCTTCAAAACAAATAATGATTCAAATGAAAATATTTGAATGAGTAACTGCATAAGTTCTTGAATAAGAAAGATCTGGGTTAACCTAAAAGGTATAAAACTTGAATTCTATAGGATTTAGTTCTGACACTGTTGTTTTTATGCATACTTAATAACTGGTATAAAATTAAATCAATTACTTGTTTTTGTACAGATATTCATACATTATTTCCAAGGCACATCTAAACGTCACAGAAACTAAGCCTTAACTTAAACTAGCAGTTTTCAAACTATTTGGTCTTAGAATCTATTTACATTCTTAAAAATTATGGCATACTTTAAAGAGCTTTTGTTTATGCCGGTTATACATATTATGATTACTGTATTAGAAACTCAAACCAAGACAAAATAAAAATATTAATTCATTTTATATTAACATTAAATGCACTGTACATTAATGAGTAATATCTTTTATGAAAATTAACTATATTTTCCAAAGTGAAGAAGTGAGAAAAATATCTGTGGACTTCCTTAATATTTGACTTAATAGAAGATAGCTAGGTTCTCATATCTACCTTCTGTTTTAAATCTGTAGGATGACTTTTGGTTTAAGTACATAAAGAAAACTCAGTCTCACACAGATACATAGTAGAAAAGGGAGGAGTACCTCACAGCCAGTTTAGATCTTTGTAGATATTGGTGATTCTATACCAAAACTTAACAAAGGATAATTCTTAAAGGGTAGTCGCAATAAGGAAAATCATATAGGGGCAATGAAATTTCTGTATTCTGCTACATTTTCTTTTCTTGCACTTTAAATGAGTCCTTTATCTATGCATGAATTTTTAAAGCATTTTTATTTGGAAAATACTGATTCAGTAAATTATGCATCTCCTCTAGATGTTGACACATTTCATTATATCATAACAAAAATGAAGGTCACATTTGTTAATATCACCATCAATCTCATCAGAAAAGTCTTTAAGTAATCTGAAATCAGATACAAATTTTCCAAAATTCCAATTTTGCTTTAAAGCTCAACTTATCATTGGCAACAAAAACTGTTAGTTTTCTGGAGATGCTGGGCTCATTCTGTTTACTTTGGAGAAAATGTCTGCCAAATACTAAAGTCTGCATAACCCTTGTTATTCAGTAAAATGGTTTTCCATGAAAACTGTCGACTTCAGTTGCAACTCAAACACAAGAATTTCTCTCAAGAGAAACCATCATACTTAGGGATGCAGTAAAGTCCACGGTCCTCCCACCTTTGATGCCCAACCTTAACACTTTTCTCTTTCTTCCAGTTAGCCAAATTTGAGACAAGTTATCAAAGTGAGTTACCATTTTCTGAACCCCTGTTTTACTTTACAATTCTTCTCTGGAACTACTCTCTTATTACGCTTACCAATGCTCTCCATTTTGTTAAATCCAAATAACATGTTTTTGTTTTTTGTTTTGTTTTGTTTTAATCCCTATTTTTCTTGACCTCGAAGTGACCTTCTACATAGTTGACTATTTCTGTTATCCTTTTCTTGGTTTGCACAGTAGCATGCTGCTTTTATTTCTACTTATATGACTGACTCTCTTCAGTTCTTTGTAACTTCCTTCTTTCTCTGGATTTTAAATTTTAGAGTTCTTTCAGGACTCAGACCTTGTACCACTTGTTACTCTATACTCTCTTGTGAGGTGATTATACATAACAATAATTTACACGGTTACCATTACCATCTGTCTGCTGAAAAAAAGAAACAAACCATATTAGCATCTTCAGGTCATTCTTTTCTCCTCTGAGCTGCCAGGTAGACTTAGTTGCCTACTTGCCTTGTCATCTGAATATATCACAGGCACCTCAAACTCTATACCAAAGAAATAGTACCACTTTCCATGTTGTTTCTGAGGCAATACTCTGGGGGTTCCCAACTTGGCCTCCTTCTGTATTATCCACACCAAAAATATATGCTGATTCCATCTCCTATTTCTAGAATTTGTCTATTTTTTTCCTTTAAACTATTATTACTACTTTACTTCTGTCATTCACTATCTTTTATACAGACTTTGGACACACTCTATTAATTTTTTCGTTGCCTCTAGCCTTTCTTGCCTCTAATTTCCCCCAAATTAATGTAAATTACCATTATGTCATACCTACACTCAAAAATTTCAATGTGTCTGCCCTTACCCATGGAATAAAATTCAGACTCACAATTCAGAATACTAGCCACCCTTCAAGCTAATTTCAAAAGTAATTTATTGTTAAAAACTCCTGGCACAGAAGTACTGTCTATATACTCATAATAATTTAATGCATACCACCTTGCCTTATTGGTTATAAGTAATACTTACATGTTTGTAAATTCTTTAAGACAAAAATCACAGTCATCCTTTAAGTTCCACCCCTGGCACGGTGATGTGCAAATATGAAACTTTCAAAATATTTGCTTACTAAATTTAAATTTAAATCCAAATCTCAAAAGTTAGTGCTATGTATTTGTTGGCATATATATATTTAATATCTATGGATACACAACTTAGAAGAGGTATTTCAAAGTTGGCTTTAAAAATCACGTATCTTTTTGTAAATATATACATACATACACACACATTATTTGTGATGATACCTATTAAATACCAAGTACTTATTAGTGTCCCAACATATATTCTCTTTTAATAATAATCTAAATATGCAGTATTTCAATGTCATTCTAGTCCCGTGTAACACGAATTTAACAATATGTATAGCAGCATTCTAAGTTTAACAGGAGAAAGAAGAAAAAAACTCTGATTTTTCTGTAATGAGGTTTAATACCAAAAAAGTAGACTGACTTCATTATTAGTCAGTTTTTAAATTCCACTTACAAAGAAACCCATTATTTCAGATAGAAGTACCTTTGTAGCAGATACTAATGCCTCTTTATTTCTTTGCCTTTCTTCTTCCAAACATTTTTCCAATATCTCCTGTAAGTGATAAGACAGTTGGGTAGACAGTAAATGTATTATCCGAGGAAATTATTTGAGGTAATAGAACACATTTTTTCTACACTCTGAGCAAACTTAAAGTATTACCTTTTGTTCTTGAGATTGCTGAACCAAAGCTTCCTTTATTTTTTCTTTCAACAGTTCCTTCTCCGTATCTAGCATTTCAAGGAGCCTCTGATGCTACAAGGAAAGATAAATGGATTATGATTATGGCTCTGAGACCAATAATCCATCAACAAGGAGTATAGCTGGTGGAATTCATTCACCTGGTTGTACTCAAGTAGTCACTAGAGGACACAATGGGGAGAGTGCTAAAACAAAGACTTACAAGAAAAAAAAACCCACTGAATTCACCTTTTTCCAATCAGCCAAGAGATCTCTGTGTGGCCCCAAACTCAGCAAAGTACATGACATGAGATCTAACTTAAGCACAGCTACTCCAAATTGGAAAATGAATCAGAAAATGATAAAATGTCTTTATTCAAAATTAAATCTAGAAAAATTATCTCACTAAAATTATTAGCTTGCAGCAAAAGAAGCAATCAGATAATAACTGATATTTGTTTGATGAACAACGATCATATTATTTGTGTTTCTAGTAAAGCACTGTTAAAGAGACTGAAAGTTTTATCACTGTTCTCACTCTAAGACTTTACCACAGATTCAGAAAAAAAATCAAAACAGTGAAAGGAATTTATGTGATAGCTAATGTTACAATGTACAGAATTAATGTATTTACTTTTATTCCAATGTGCTAGCAAAAAAGCACACACAACCATTAGCCAGTTATCATGGATTGGGCACTTGGAATTTAGAGTTTTCTAAGAAAATCCAACTTTTGTAGCATCAATATCTTCAACACAGAGAAGCCAGATACTTGTTCTGGAATGGCGCTCTTATGAGGAAATAAAACCAAAAAGAAAATATATATTCCTCTTTACACAGATTTCTCATTCAGTTACTAAAGGGCAAAGAAGAATATTTTCTCTGATTTCTCTGATTTTGAAGGCTTTTTAAATATGAACTTATTTGAAAACCCAATATTTTAAAATGGATCTATGTCTTTCAAAGTTGTTCTGAGTTAAACTATTTTTTAGGGAGGCAGTCTACATGAAGAGTAAGTGACCAAACAGCCATGTCTAGTTAAGAGAATCTATTATTCCTATTTTTAATTATAATGTTACTTTTTACCTTTATCTTCCAAGAAAAATCACATGATGTGCTTTCTCATTAAAAAAAATCCAAACTGTGATACAAATTATGACTTGATTATGAGAAATTATTGGTACCATATGAATTTGTGAAAAGCAGCTGACAAATCAGTAGACTTACCACACACTATGTACTGAGACTTTAATTTTGTATTCTTTGTAAGTCTAGATACACATAAATTTCATCAAATCAGAAAAAAATACCTAATCCTACTTAAAATACACACACGAGAAGAAGTTTAAAAATGTTATACCAAGCAAATAATTAGATTTAGAAATGATAAATACAATTCTCGTATGAGACCAAAAATACTCAATTTAGGCTTTGTGGGTAGGGGTAAACATAACGAAATAGAAAACCAATAAAAACTATTAGAATTAAACTAAAAAACAAACTTTTCACAGTCATTAATAATTTCTGCTTAAAAAGAACTGTTATAAGTAAGACTAATGGGAATCATTGAGTAATTAATTGTAAGTACGCCAAGTTTCTCCAGTGGTCAAAGGTTAGTTAAAGAGGGTACGTTAGCTAAAATTACAATGCAGTGTTTAGAAAATTCATTCCTGAACATTATTTCTTCATTGTGACAGTACACTATAATAGAAGACTATTCTTGAACTTTCTTCTACAAGAATAAACTCAAAATTACCATTGGAAAGAAGTATCCTACATAAAAAAATACTCTAAGTAAAATCATCGATTTACTTGAGAAAATATAATTAGATTACTGACTTTTCTTATACATATAGGTCATAGTAGCTAACATTTTCGGGGCATTTTTAAGGTTTCAGGCATTGTTAAAAGGGCTTTACATGTAGTTGTACCACATTAAATTCATAACAAACTGCTAAATCAGGCAATATTCTTCCTCGTTTCAGATGAGTGATTTGAGACTTACAGAAGTTACGTAAACTGCCAGGTCTCTCATGAATCACTTCAGCAATAATCGTATCAGTATACTCATTATCAACAGTAATAATTACCTACTAGCTAAATGTGGCCTCAGTATTGCCTAGATGTTAACCCAGTAACTAAAAGCTACTTATTACAAGTTGTATGTCAGGTAAGGCCTCACTTGCATTTGGCTTTAAAAGAATTTGACTAGGGGTGCCTGGGTGACTCAGTTGGTTAAGTGTCTGCCTTCAGCTCAGGTCATGGTCCCAGGGTCCTGGGATCGAGCCCTGCATCGGGCTCCCTGCTCAGCGGGAAGCCTGCTTCTCCCTCTCCCATTCCCTCTGCTGGTGTTCCCTCTCTCGCTGTCTCTCTGTCAAATAAATAAATAAAATCTTTTAAAAAAAATAAAATAATTTGACTAATCTATACTTCTGATTTTGTTCTTTTCAGAATAACATTAAAATAAGATCATTTTCTGAAAAAATATTAATATTAGGAGAGAGGATTCAGAAAGATGCTGAATGACATGAGAGAAGTTAACTCTTAAAATTAAACAGTTAATTTATAAAATGAATAATCTACAAGTAGCTAATCAAGAACAATATAAACGTAAAATATATTTTTATAAAGGTGTCATATGCTGATTGTGAAAAATGTAAAATGTAGTGAAAAATCACCCAGAGTTCTATCACCTAAATGATAGCATTTAGGCAAACATCCTTCTGGCAGGCTCTCTGTGTATGTAAATGTACAGCTATATGTAAACATTTTATATAATAAGTTTATAACTATCATAGTCTTTTTGAACAACAGTATTGTTATTCCTATATAAACATAATTATGTTTTTTTTAAAGATTTTATTTATTTATTTGAGAGAGAGAGAATGAGAGACAGAGAGCACGAGAGGGAAGAGGGTCAGAGGGAGAAGCAGATCCCCCGCTGAGCAGGGAGCCCGATGTGGGACTCGATCCTGGGACTCCAGGATCATGACCTGAGCCGAAGGCAGTCGCTTTACCAACTGAGCCACCCAGGCGCCCTATGCTATTATTTTTATTACACTAATTATACATTTTACCATGTCCCACTTACGTATTTATGTCTACAGTATTTCCCTTTTAAAATAATCTCGATTTTTGTGCATGTATCTTGGGGACTTGTACAATTATGGCCTTATGAAATATTCCTAGGGTTGGTATTGGCAGGTTGATGATTGAGCATCGTTTATATTTTGATGCATGCCCTCAAACTGTATTCCAGAAAGAAAATGTGAAATTATACCTTGACTATCAATAGTAGGACAATGGACAAGGTAGATTCTCCTGGAGAAAGGAATCATGGACTGGATGAGCAACGAACCAAGGAAACTGTTCCACTCTTGGCATAGGGATACCAGCTCTGCTATGAGCCATCATGGCTGTTTATTTCATCATTCTCCCTGTTTGAAAATGGGAATTTTTGTTGCATCTTTTCTGTTCTTTCTCTTCTTTTTGAATGCACTGATTATAGTTATGGGGGGCAAGGGCCCTTCTATTTCCATGTTATCTCTGTTTTTTTCAAAGTTCCTTTTTGGGGGGTAGTTTGAGTCAGTAATTTTCAAATTTAAGATGTTTCTCCAATGTTTGGTCATCTTTTTCAGTTCATGCATACTAAAATCTCAAGACACAAAAATGCTGGTAGGAAATTCTGTGTATGTGGGGGAGCTTTACAGAACTGCAAAAAGGTGGCTTTTTCATGGTTGTGGTGGCAATTCCCAAATGTCAGGTCTATATATCACCATTTTCTCTTAAGCTGCTCTTTTTGCCTAGAAAAAAAATTCCCCAATCTTCTCATTGGTAGGATATGGGTGAAGAGCGTGTGGGTGAAAAGCTCACTGTAAAACAGATTCTGGTTTAATCTCCCAGTTTTTAGTTCCTGTTCTTTATGAGGTTGGATTCTCAGGTTTTATTACGCCATTGTCCTGCTAGGACATACAGTAAGGACCATTCCTCCTGCTTTTAAGAGCACCTGGTGCCCCTATTTCCTGAGGCATTCTAGGGTTTTGCTGGACAGAGCAGCTTGCTTCATATGGGTTTCACCTCAATGGGCTAAGATTACAACGTGTTAGCCCTCTGCTGAGTCAGTGATATTTGCCTGTATCTTATCCCTGCTAGTTTATTGTTTCTATTTATTTGTTTTGGTCCCTTTTGGTGTCATTTTAGTGATTTTTGAGGGGGGAGAGGTACAGAAGGTAGAAGAGATGAGCATATTTAGCTCACCATACCTATCTAGACTTAGAATCACTTTTTAAAAACATTGAATTATATCTGAGTTTCTGACTCAACATTATGTGCTAAGCACTGTGTTAGGAACTTTATAGGTATTACTGGGGATCCTGACAACAACCCAGAACTGTCTTATTACTTATATTTGACAGATTTTCAAACTGAGTTTCAGAGAGGTTATATAAATTGCTTACATTCACGGGACTAATTAATAGTTAAACTGAGACTGGGACCCACTAAGCGCTGAATATAAAATCCACGGACTTTACATTAGATTCTGTAGAATCAACATACAGCTAAGGGCTCTCTCTGTTACATCTCCAAGGACTGCTTCTTTGACTTCCTGAGTTTCACTCATACACTTGTACTAGTCACCTAGCCTTATAGTTACGTTTTGGTCATGGTATGGTATGTCTCTTTTCCCCCTGCTCCCATATCTGGCCCCTTAAGGGAAGGTAACGGAGATGGCAAGATCACAAAAACTAGAAGGAAAGGGGACTCATTTTTGACAAATTAACTTTTATTTGGGGGCTGGGGAGCAAGACTGTAGGATATTTAGGTAGCTGAATCTCTCCCATTGGAATCCCAAGAAATATACACAGTGAGCCAAAAACTTTACTCAGCAACCAATGCCTGTATCAGCTAACACATTTTCTTTTTCTCAAAGACACATATACTTTCAGGGAAGAGAGTTTTCTGAAAGAATAGGTTAACATATAAGCTACAATTATAAAAACTGCATTATGTATTCCTGTAAGATGAAAAAAGGGTATTCTTCTGTTCCATTTATATTTCAGGGGCATCTCTCTGGG